TAGGTGATTTTTATTCCGGTCCATACTACAAGTAGTTTAGTTTCTAAAAGATTTTTGTGCTTCGCTCGTTAGGAACAGGATCCGGTATCTTGTCATATGTTTCCTTAGAACCTGCCACGCAGATTCATCTTTATATTGGTTCTATAACAGCTTAGACCTAGCGACTTTTATCCGATGTTGTTACAGTATATTACCAGATTTCGGTTACAGCTTAGACCTCGATATTTACTAAATATATGCTAAGTAAAATGTATGAACTTTTAAATCTCTAGAAACTCAACTGGTGAGATTATTTGCCAGATGCCTATTCGTCCGTCTGTCGAACACATGTCTGTCCAATCTCATCCGCTCAGTAACTACTTGACTAAATTTTATGAAATTTACATGAATTTCTACCAAAGTTGTTCAAATGGTTTCTGTTGCAATCTGGGATACGAAAACCCAAAATATAGATTTTAAAAAGACAATGTTGTTAAAACTCCTCATCTCGAACCAAAAAGCATTCAAAACAAACCATGACCCTTGCGTCATTTCGAATGCTTCTTTGTTGAAGTGAAGATTATTTTGTCATTTTTTTATTATTTTTTTTATTTCAGACATCCTGTATAGAAGTTTTCATGTCTCTGAAAAAGAAAATAATATTGAAAGATATAGAGTAAAAAATAAGGTCAGACAATTACAATATCTTTTCCATATAGCCTGGTGGAGGTAAATAATAGTGACAGAGCCGAGATAAAATCGTCGACTTCAAATCAGCTTTCCTTTACTGCTGTGATTAAAATCCCGTCATGACGTTGGATGAATCTATCAAGCTAGTTTACGGAAGATCGGTGGTTCTAGTCTTGTACCCGCTCGTGTCTGAAATGTTTTACGAAGGGGTATCTGGGGTCTTTCTTTACACTGAAGACGGAATGTTTTCACATGACCTCCGTGTCGTTGAAACTTAAAATCCAAGAAAACCAAAAGTAACAAACCCTTTACTTACAAAATACATTATTGTAGATGGAAATTCATTCCAACTTAAAATAAGTTTTAAGGTTGCAGTATTTCTCACTTGAATACTGTTTAATCACCCTTAGTTGCCTGCTTTTTAATTGTGTCTTTTGACAGCTTACCTGTGGTATGCATACTTCACAAACTCCAATTTATTTAGTTTCACCCAATGTATTCTCGTTAAGGGCACACGCAATTTTAACCTGAAATGGAATTGCAATAACGTGTCACATTAAAGGTTCCATGATAACCGTCATATAAACACATCCACATATGTTCAAAAATCTAAAGTTTACCAATGTGAATTCTGCTTTATGCCTAGGTCACAAATAAAACGGGCGCCGTCCGATTAAACGATTTTTATAAAATCGGCAGATTTTTTGATGTCGTGGACGCAAAGCGATTTTAAATCTGATACCTTGCGTGGTCATGAATGAAACAGTCGTCGGGCGATTTTTTTGCCAGAAAGAATTGAACGGATCGGGCGATGTCCGTACGGCGCCTGTGCGATTTAAAAGTGAATCGGACGGTTGTCTCGCGGGCGCCGGGCGACAATGACGACATCCTTTATAAATCAGCCAGTTGTAATTATGCCAGCAAAGAAGTCAGCTGCCAAAGCCAAGGGGAAGGCCAAGGCGATGGTCCGTGTTGTTGACACCGAGTCACCAACGGCAAGTAGAAGGCAAAAATCAATCAGACATTCGCATGGACATTGAAGAAAAAATTCATGTTTACTAGTATTCAAAAGAAATTCACAAATATATTTTGAGGCAATTACAACTTCTTCAAGCTGAAATTACAACAAACACAAGCAGCCCGGTCGCCGGATGACAAAACGATGACCGCCCGGTGCCTGTACATGAATCGTCCAGGTACCGAGCGATAATAGTTTGACTACTTGTCACTATTCAGGCACCGGGCGGAGCCCGGCCGATGTCCGCCCGGACGCCTTTTAAATCGGACGGTGTTTTAGTAGAACAAAAAATCGCCCGATCAAAAAATCATCGCCCGGTCGCCGCCCGGCGACCGAGCGATGTCCGCTCGATAATATTTTATACTCAGTGACCCAAAAATTGTCGTCCGGCCGCCGTTAGCTTTTAAGTATTACTTAAAACTCGAAGGCGCCCGCCCGATGAGCAAAATTTTCAGTTGTTGCCGTCCGATAGTCACTGCCGCCGGACGGACGCTGGCCGATATTATGATTTTTTGGAGAAACAGACGCCGCCCGGCGGCATTTTCTTATTTGTGACCTAGGCTTAAGCCGGTGCTCTGAGTCGTGGACGATAGCTTGCAGTTACCACTACCGTCCATGAACAGGTTTAATCAAATTGAGCCTGTAATATTTTCATGTTTTCCATGTTGGACTTCTGCATGTTAAGGATTCTTTTTTTCTCGCTATTTTATTACTAATAAGCATTATTATAATGTGTAATGGAATGAAGCAATAACATTTCTTCTCTCTATACAATTTGATAAACGTTACTGTTGTTGTCCTTAGGACATTACTTATTCTGCAAAAAGTCTAAATCTGAATATAAGTACTTTAAGTAAGGTAAATAGCAAACTATAACTTTTCTGCTGAAGAACAAATGTGATACAACATTTTAAGAATATATTAATTGGAAAAGTATGGTTTATTTCATAAAAATAATGGATACACGAACTTTGTTTGAAATTTGGCAAGTATCTAATCTGTAACCGAAATCTGGGTATATACTGTAACAAAATTGGATCAAAGTCGCTTGGTCTATACTGTAACATTGTTTATTTTTTCTAACGCATTTGACGAACAGGAAAATAGGTTAAACTGGTTGTTTAATTAAATTAATGTTTCTAAACACAAAGGACTAACGTTTTGTAGATTTACTTTTTCTAGTCATGCTTAGATATTGTTGGAATGGGAGAAAATGCATTGGTCTCTCGATTCAAATTTTCAAACTGTATAATCTGCAGTTTTATGAGACAATATAGAGATAAATCTGCAGTGCAGATTCTGAAGAAATATATGACTAAAAACCGGATCATATTGCTTACAAGTAAAGCACAAAACATCTTTTAGGAACTAAACTACTTGTAGTATGGACCTGAATAAAAATCACCTACCTCTCTCCCCATAAATAAGGCCAACATTTTTTTATAAAATGTTTTACGGGACCGCCGACCGTATTTTTAGAGAAAATCAAATAAAAATAAAAGTTCATTTAAGAACTTTTATTTTCATTTTGTCCGCCGACCTCTCTTACCCACTTCTGTCAAAATTAAAAGTTACTCGGTACTTAACTGTAGAATCTTGGTAAAGCAAAGGAACTTGCTTAAAACAAATGACAAGTTAATCGCTTTGATGTTTACAAAATGTTACAAAAGGCGTAACAAAAGGGAAGGGCAATAACTTAACAAGCTTGTAATAAATTAACCCGTGTGAATATCACGCGACACCGGGTCATGAAAGGTCGCGGGGTCATGAAAGTTCGCTTTCATTACAACTATGGCAATTTGAGGAATAAATATTAGAGCATTTTATCACACATGATAGCCTGCAAAGCTGTTTGAAAGCACGACTGGGAAGTAACATCCATTGCATAAGTTGATTTGAATCATCTACACTTTCAGAACAGTTGTAAAAAATTAAATGGGCACGGGATCAAAGTCGTTGATCGACTAAGGTGTCAGAATGAAATATTTACTCGATTTACCACGGAACATGAGAAAACTTTGACACATTAAAATTTAGACTCATGTATAGGTTTTTATAAAAAAAATAAGGTGGAAAATCTGGACTTGCATTTTACTTTGACATATCGAGAAAATTGAGTAATCGAAATTCAACTCGTACGAGTTCTACTTACATTGTAGAATCTAACATTTATTGTTAGTAAATTGATAATAAAAAATCTTTATTATGAATCTTTGAAAACAATTGATTAATTTATAATACCAAAATAATAAATTATTGAAACTTCTTTGGTGGACAGATTTTGTTGTTGTTGTCTTGTTGAAATACAAGGCTTGTTTATAATTGAACACAGTCATCTATAACATTTATTAAGTTTATATTATATCATGACCATTGACCAGTAGACTAAAGGCAGTAGTTATGTGTTTTTTACTAGATCAATATTGAGAAAATTGGCCTTTTTTTGCAATGTAAGATTATGAGCATAAGTCCTCTTTGACATTTCTGTAAAAAATTGCCTGTAATAAATTCTCTACAGAAAACCCTGATTTTGTAACAATGTATGCCATTTGATTATCTATTTACTGTCAATGACTTTCATTTTACTAATCATTTGAACTATGAATAATTTTCAGAAATTGCAAACTTTTTGCACATACATAACTTACTCTCTTAAAGATAATCTAAAGTTGTTGATTTAATTTACCTTGTGAAACTGACATTGTACAATATTATGTTGTACCTTAGTGAATGGTTAAGGTTTCTGACCTCAAATCACTCTCCCTGTGTGATGTTGTTGATAAGAATCCTGTCAGGAACTTAATTTGGATTACCATGAGGAAACTATCAGTAAGCTTATAATAGGTTGGTTGTTCTATCACTATAATCAGGTTGCAAGCTTGTTTCAGTATTGTAAAGCTTGAGAGTGGCAATACAACCTTGTTTGGATACTCTTGAAATGAAGGGACTAAACATTGAATTTGGTAATGCGAAAAGACAAACTAATACAAATTCTAGATCAGCATTAAATATTTACATAAAACAAAAGCAAAAGTGACTTAAAACATTTTTTTCAACTATTTTGTTAAAAATCATGTCAAAAATATTTCAAAACTATAAAATCATTGATTTTATGGATAAAAAATCTGTTTTTGGAGTGTTAAAAAAAATGTTCGAAAATAAAAAATTTTCACCTCATTTGTCATTTTATTTTTATTTTGTGGTCGACTGATCAAAATATTGAATTTTATTTTTATTTTACCCCCCCCCCCCGACCCAATTTTTTAAAAAAATGTCCCGTAAAACATTTAATAAAAAAATGTTGGCCTTACCGGAAAACGCGATAATGTAACACGTTCCCTGACCGAGACCGAGACTCAAACCCGGGGCCCTCGGAAAGCCGTTTCGAGGCTTTACCGACTGAGCTTAAACATCCTTTCCCTTAAAAGTATTAATTTCTGAACTTTGACAAAATTATGACTCTCCAAATTCTTGATAGAGAACATGTAGCAAAGTTTTCCTATGCTAAGTTGAGATTCTCTTTTTCAGCCCTCCAACATGAAAATCATAAGCAAAGAACTCAACTAAATTTAGACGAAGAGTGAGTATAAATAAACTTATCAAAAATACAGTTTTGCTATTACATTAATGTAGGTCAACATCAGGCCATGTATGCCCAAAAGTAAAATATGATGACGCTAGAAAAATCAACATTTACAGTTACACTACTTTTGAATTTTAAACAGAATATGTCATCACACATTTTCTGAAGAGTTTCTAGAGATTTCTAGTTTTGCAAAATCAAATCACGAAGATTTTTTTTAAATACTCGAAGTCTCTTTAAATATTATCAAGACATAAATTAAATCTAACTCTATTATCCCTATTTGAACTGGAGATTTCATGCTGTTTTTAACTTCATGCATATGCAAATACAGCAAATATTATACTCATGTTTGTACAAAATATATCAAATGATCATGAATTATTGTGTGTTGTAAAATAGTACCATTTTACGGCAAAGAACGGTGGCAGCAGTTAGCTGTAATGTTGTTTCAATGAATCAAGAATAGAATTGAATTGTTCTGCGTTCATTCAATGTCTGATTTCACAAAGAGTTCATCATAAACAGACGACAACTATCTTATGTATATTTCGTCTGTTCGCAAATGTACATTGCCGTATGTGTACATTCGCTTCTCTTCCATTGATAGTTTACCTCCGAAATCAATGACCCGCAATATTCCCAGTTTAGGTCATGATACCAGTTAGTGTAACCTTGATCAAGTTCAGTCTCCGTGTGGATCCATTTCCAGACATCTTCCAGCATGACCATTCCGGCCCAGTAGTTCCCTGGAAGGAAACAAACGTTTTTAAAGATTGATAAAAAGGTATCATGCCTTCATGTATGATGCGTTCTTGTACGATATTAGACATAATATCATGACGTAAATTTATAGTGTTGAGTACAATACTGAATTCTATTGGATGATTACACAGCTGTTAAACCTACATTGGACGAGACGCAACTCGAGTCTGATATAGGTTTTGCAACTGTGTATATATATTTTATGATCTCAACAATGTACAATGACCTCCTTACTTCACACCACCTTTTTCGGACATTTTGACAGTTTTTTTTACATCAAATACAAAAAGGAGTTTAAATGACCTTTTTTAAATCCTGAAATTGAAAACGAAACTAGATAGAGTACGAGATGCATTTAATAAAGATCTTTTGTACACAAGAATGAGAAATAAATGTTTGACGATTTCGATGGTACATATTTTTTTCAATTGAAACTTTTGAACTTTTTGCGATATAATTGCAGAAAATTGTGACAAAATATTGCCGCGCAGAAAAATTTCTGCGATACTATGTAAAGTTAAAATGATTATAGCGTATAAACTATATTAGAATGACGTCAAGTTCGAGTTCATGTAACATTTATTTCTCTTGGGTTTTTCTTCCAAGTTTCACTGTCTCAATTTCATTTGTTAGAGAATATTATCTAACAGCCACTTACCACCCGGACACTCGTAAATGCCACAATACTGCCACCTAATTTTGGGGTCTGTTGTGTAACACCATGGTAACCCTAAGCCGTCGGGATCTCTACAATAGTTGGCAGCATCTGTCACAGATCTCTCTGGAAACCTGATGGGTTGAGTTCGTGTATGTGTGTGGGGAGTTTGTGAATCCCATCGCTGGCACGTGTGTCCGTCGTACGTCGTAGTTGTAGTGCCACTATATTGTTTTGAATAGGCACTGAAGCATTCTGAAATATTACCAGGATTTGGTTACTATTTGAGCTTTGTAATTGTTGAAATGAACTTATTAATTTTGGTTACTATTCAGATTTGGTTACCTTTGAAATGTGGTAACTATTGAAATTGGGTTACTTTTTAAATTTGGTAACTTTTGAAATTTAATATATTCAACATTTTTATAACAAACGCTAAAACGCGCCCTGATTTAGCGCAAGAAATGAACTTTAGGACAGCTTCAGAGTTATCACAAGAACTCCAGGACATTTGAAAAATCGGGCATAAATGTGTTAGTCGGGGCTTTATGTATGCAATTTTGCATTATAATTAGGTAATTATGTATGGCAAGGATGCATACTCATTACATTCAAATTGGCAAATAGTTAGGAAATTTTACTAAAAACTACCAGATTTTAAACTGGAGGCGATGTAAAAGGACTATGAATTAGTTTTTGACACATACAAGATGACAAGAGACCTTAATTATTAAAGTTTAATTTACCACTCGCATATTAAAGATGAAATTAAGCATTTTGACGGGTGTTTTGTAGTATTTACAAAAATTTTCCGACGAACCCCGTGACAGTTATCACAAGAACCCCTGACAAGTTATCATAAGAACTCCAACGTGTACCAGCTCATCCCCCGTGTTAAACTACCATTCACAATAGATTAACTTATTTTCGAGACTGTTACTGTAAAATTGTGTTTGTACCTACGGATTAGCTGGGAAAACACCAAAATGTTCTTATTTCGGAGTAAGTCTATTTTTGCTAGTCCGTATGTGTTTTTTTCCCTTAACGCCCCCTCCCGCATATTCTTTCCGGCCGTAAGCGGTTATGCAATAATGCTGTGACATCATATATAGTTTGTAATAATCATATTAAAAGGCTTTTCAAATTAAAACCTCCTTTTATTTATAAAAATATCGTGCTGTAAATAAACGCCTTATAGAGATGAGTACATAAATGGAAGAAATGAACTCGATTTTGACGTAACAAACACATGCATTGTACACTTTGATATTATTCTTTATTTAGTTTGGCTTTACAGATCTCTCTGTAAAAGCCTATCATTTACGCCTTTTTGATCATTTATAATACTCAATTATAATAATTTATTCTTTTTTCGAGTTCACATTTAAAATACTAGATTTTATCGATTGAATTTAAAAAAAAAACAATTTCGTGTATATTACTCATAATATGAGCGATGACAACATATGCAACAATATTTATGGTAAGTAATTCAAGTCTAACTAGGCAATAAACGATATAAACTTGAATTACTCTGTTAGCACAGCGTTCGCGTAGATTTAAGCGTATGATGCACGTCCCTTCCGGTGCTTCCATAGAAAGTGCCGAAAGTAGAAAATCCTTAAATCTCATATCAAAGTTAAAAAATAATCACTGGCTTCGCAATGTATATATTGCAGCCGCTCTTTGATCATATTAAAATTTACTAAAACCAATGTGGCATATAAATAATTTTTACCTCTACTATTTTGTCTGTCAAGTGTTTCAATATGGTATTTCAGAAACTGATCTTCGTCAGCAGATGTAATTTCTACAAGATGACCGTTCAGTTTTTGACATCGGATCTGGAACAAACATGTTTTAAATCATACGAATAAGGTAAATCTCTGAAAACAATACACTTTAAGTACGTGTATTTTTTTACAAAGACCTCCACTCGCTAAGAATCAAAATGTGAAAGCTTAATTTTTATTTCCTTAAGATTTGTAAAAATGGATCTCCAGATAGAAGAGCTTCTGTCCAAAGTGAAGTGAACTTCCGGCCAATTTTTTCAAAACCATCAAAGTTTGGACGCTACTTTTGTTACCGCTATGCTCGCTATACGAGCAGACACTTCAAACCTGCTCTTCTAGCTAGTTAATATGAATTTTGCAAAGCCTAAAAGCCAGCTCTTATACAAAATTTACTAATTTACGCTATTTTAATTATTTATCAATCAAGTATAATAAACCATCCGAAATCATGACATCGCAAAGAATCCAATGGCAGGGAAATAGATTGGAATCAATTAGATTTCCATTTCGGGAAAATTGATAATTATCGTGAAACGTGAACGACCGGAACTGGAAGTTGTGTTCTGCTTATTGGCGACGCCGGTGAGCGGCGTCGTTTCTTATGGAATGTTTTTTGTTTGTTTTTTGTTTGCGTTTTTTTTTTTGCACATGGTAGGAGCTGTTATTATTAGCAGTTAATGGCATGTTGTCTTAATTAGTTTCATTTTGATTTTGAAAAATCAATTAAACAAATATGGTGTTATATTTGTATTTAATAACTTTATGTAAAAAGCATATGCATTTGGATATTTTTTTTCATAAAATGACAGACTCAGTTTTACAGCTTGTCGCGAATAGTTAAAGCCGGATTCCGAATATCGTTGTGGCCTATATGATGTATTCAATTTTGTTATTTAACTCAGGTTAAGTTGTTTTGTTTTTATTTTATAGATTACACTGTTTAATCATTTTTGTTAATTATGCATTGTTTATTGTTTCGTTCTATATACGGTTAGAATTTTTCTGCAAGAAGAACGTTCATATTCAAATGAGTATAAGGATTCGCAATGGAACTGTTGAAAACGATTATTCTATTGAATTTAATCCATATCACGTTTATCTATTGCACATAATGATTGTTTTTACAAAGTGTACCAGTATCCGGATGTTGAAAGCTATCTGGTTTTCTGCAATGTAATTCTACTGTTGTCACATGGCCTTCTAACTTTTTATGAATTCTTTTTACCATTACTTTTAATCAAACTGAGCCTGCAACATTTTATTATTTTGCTGTTTAGGGTGTACTTTAAGGTCTCAGCTGGTTTTCTCTATTTTAAGGGGAAGTAACCCATGTTTACTAAATTGTTAGTTCTTTTCTGTCAATCTAAGGTACAGTTGAGTTAACACCAAAGGTTACACCAAGTGCACTTGGTGTGCACTACATGTGCACTTCTAGTGCACTTCAATGTGTACATTAAGTGCACTTTGAAGTTCACTCCTAGTGCAGTAGACCATTTATGTATTGGACAATCTTTCAGTTTGTATAGCATTACCTTTAATTTAAAGGCCCAACTGGACTATAAAAGCCAGCAGATGGCGCTAGGGCAGGTTTCTTATTAATTTTATGCATGCTTCACTTCAGGGACCCTTTTTCAAAGATTTAAGATTAATTACCAAATGCATTAAAACAACACTTGGCATGTTTGTAGGCATAGATATTTTTGAAAGATTGCCCAAATTATTCAAACTATAACTTTGTTAAGTGTATTTCTGGAAAAAATACTGGTTGTCAAATTTGAAATTTGAATTTCCCTGGGAGGAGCCATGTGATCATTACAGATCATGAACCTTCAGTAGTAAACAGAAGCACGTGGCTGTGTTTATTTCAGGGAGAGAGATTTGTAGCAGACGATGTATATTTCAAGGAGGGAGATTTTGAGCAGACGACAAATTGGAATGCTGAATAATAAGAAAAAAACAATAACTTTTAATGACTTGCTTTATCAAATCCAACAAATTTACAATAATCCATTAAGCTATGATTTGTTTTCTAAATTTCAAAGTACTGATTTAATTTGTATTTGAATGGTTTTAACTTCACGAAAACAGTAAAAGTAACTTCCAGGTATATTTCATTTACACTATATTTTGTTGTAAATATCTTGTAGTCAAAAATTACATTTCACAAATGTTAATCAAACTAAATGTTGCATATGCACAAAATTTTTTATACATAACAGTTTAAAAATATTTTAAATTCCTGTCAAGAACATTTTTAGCAGGTTTTTCCTAAAAAATATGCCCTATGTAAGGCACATCTTTTGGATTTTGATATAATTGTCTGACTTGATGAAAACATACAGCATTCCAGTGAAAAAAAAAGAAGAAAAAATGACTTCAAAAATTATATTAAAACATCCATTAAACCTCTCCTGTGTAAAATCAGCTGTTTTTGTTCCAGGTTAACACTGCATGCTATTTATAGTTCAGGGTTTATAACAGACCTAACAGTTTTACATCACTGATTAGTCACACCCACAAATACTCGCTGCTGCGGCAGCGAATGTGGCCGTTTAATTAAGGAATGTTTTAAATAGCATTTTATAAATTTAATAATTAATTTATTATTTTTACTTTTTGTACTTTGTAAAATTAATAATTTCTATCAATTTAACCTCATTATAAGATTTATGTTGAAAATGATAGAAATAGAAATATTTTATTGGTGTTATTATAATAACCAGGTAAATAATTTGAAATACTAAATGGACAGTAGTAAATATTTTAACTGATTTTACGAATTTGTTGATCTACTCTTTTTATGAATAAAGTACAAATAGTTTACGATATTTTTAGAGACAAATAGTATGATCATTATTTGCTTGGAAATTGTATGGTCTATGGAATATAATGATGTACTATTTACAAATAAAAGGATGATCTGTTCTTTTCTAATAATTAATAGTTGTTTCTTTATTTTTTTAAATTACAATATTTGATAATCCTTAATTCTCAAACTGAGACTGACTAGGACATATATGCTATATATGTTAATGGTAGGATAAAAAAGATTCTGTTTCTTTCTAGAAATCATAAAATAATTTGATGAGCCGTGTGTATCTTAAACAGTTTTGCTAGTAGTTTATGTAATTTATGACTTTCCAAAATGTTTATGGTGTAATTTGCCATAGGGTGTTATACAAGCACATCCTCAGTCCTTCCAATAAACAGCTTGATAAGATTAGATTCTACCCAGGCATTGTCATATCATACTAAAACAAGAATCAACATTTAAGTGTAAAAGGAATACTTTAGACTTCAAAGACTTCCGCCTTTCAAAGTACTCCTAAATAGCAAGGAAAGTAAAAATACCATTTCTTGTGAATAATGCAAATTTTAAAGAGGTTTCCCTACAGTTAGTAAATTATTTTTTAAAAAAGAAAAGAAAAGAAAAATGAAACACTTCAAAAACATACATACATGTATCTTAAAAGAAGAAAGAAGGAGTGTTCAAAGTGAAGTTTAAACTTCAGACCACGATAGTAATAGATTAGGAGATATGCCATTTATATATAGGTATTTATCTGTGGAAGTTTTAGAAGATATTCCATGCAGTACATGTATGTACTGTTGTAGAAGAAATGCAGATAAGTTGGGTAAAAGTGGACTGAAATATTCAAATTGACTCCTTAGATTTAAAACCTGTTTTTAAAAAGAAAACATGAAACATCGCGTAGTAATTAATTCCACGGTTATACAGCTCTGCAAGAGAAGTCTGAAATAGATTATCTTCTCGTACTAGCATTTAACAAACGATAGTACTTGTTTGAAATAAATTTCAAAAAGTATTTGATGTGTTGAAGATAACATGGTTTTTATCATTTTAATAAAATTATTTCCTTCTTGTACAAAATAGAAGGAACATTTCCCTTCATTATAATGATCAACCATGTATTCTTTAATTTGCGAATGGTTATTTACCTTTGGGTCCCATTCACAGCAGTATAAAGGCACTTAGATCTCCGAGTACCTATGGTGTCTCCAAGGAGGTTTATTTTAGGTCCTCTTTTATGTCTAATATTTGTCAATGGTATTTCTGTAACCCTAAGCAATATTTTATTATATGATAATGACTCAGTTATCCTTGTATCTGGTAAAATAAATCTGAAGAAATTTTCTCTTTTGGCATGAGAATTTTAGTGATTGGTTATATTTGACGCATCTTTAAACAGGGTCCTATCCTCCAGGTCACATGTAATGGTTATGATCAATATAAAGTACACCTCCTCTGTTAAGTATTTAGGTGCAAGTCTTGATCAAATATTTCTTGGCGTCGCATTTGATGCTTTGCATCAATGATTTTTTTGCATCAATGATTTTCATGTAACTGCTTATAACTCTTATTACAGGGAAGACATAAATACCATGGGAGGAAAGGAATTATTTACCCTTTTTTATAGCTCACAAAAGACAGACAGTCTTTAAAGCATGCTCTTTAACCTTTAATGACCCACTGATCTGTTATTATAATGACTATATTATATTAAAGCTGCATGTCTTGAGAAGAGCCAAAATATATCAAAACATGCAAACATAATAAAAATGTACTAAGATTTTAAAGCTGCACGCCTCCAGATTAGCCAAAATATTTCAAGATAACCAATAATGAAGAAAATATACTAGAATTTTAAGAGGTAAAAACATTCCAGTAACAAGTTGTATTTGACATGTAATGTGCGGTTTAAGACTGATTTTGCAGTATTTTATCACCATATATTTACAGCGTTACTAACGCAGTAAGGGCTGTGTTTGCACATGTTGACCACTTTTTGATAATTTGCGTGGATTCAAAAAGCTGTTTGTAATGTGTAAATTACTTTCTTTGATCACTTCACAATATTTTACTTTTTAAATACATGTCCAACATTTCGTGAAAATTAACATGAATCTGGAGGCGCGCTGCTTTATGAAAGGTAAAAAGAGTCAAGATTTGTGTTTCAGTTTAAATGTTTCGTCCGTTTAAAGACAAAGTTTGCAGTATTTATTACTATATTTCTACTGCGTTTAACGCAGTAAGGGCTATTTTTGCATATTTTGACCTTTCTGGTAATTTGCTTGAATTATAAGTGCCGATTGCAATATTTGTACGAAATACTTTCTCACAATTTTCATGAAAATTAGCATGAATCTGGAGGCATGCAGCTTTAATTTGAAAATGATCACATTGTTTCACTTACCATAGCATCTATCCAGCTCGCCGATTGGTTACTGATGAAAAAACATGACTTTTCATATGAAATCCAGTTATCAGGACAATCTATAATGAGAATATAATGTATGCAGACGACACTTTCTTTTTAAGTATAAGACCCTTTATTTGCATAAAAATGACGTTTAACATTAAACTTACGTCATGTTTCAGCTTGTAAAATACGTACTTATAAATATTTACTATATTTATTAAGAAAGGCCCCTATTACAAATTAGATTATTATTGTTAGTTACTGAGCCATATTAATAGACTCAAAATAACCAAAAACATCTGGTTGAATTAAAATAATGTAGACATGAAATAGAAAAATCCGACTAGGTTTAACATTACCAGTGCAAGATTTACGATTATATTTAACTATATATGTACCGTTCTAGTGTTAAAGAAATTATACATCCAAAACAGTGATTTTATCGCTAAATAAAACCACTGTTTGGAGTTGGGATGCGAGGAATTATAATACTTTATGCAACAGATCTATAGCCGTGCTGACTTTTTAAATTAATCTATGGAATAATAAAATGCTAAACTTCAAACCTGGTATTTCTGTTGTTGTGTTAAGTGGAGACGAAGTTGTCGCCAAACTTGTTCCAACATGCACTGATTCCTTCGGCGTAGTTACAGCAGAAGTGATTTTTTGAAAATTCGTCGTGAAAGTAGGTAACGTGAGATTCTGAGAATTTGTTGTCTGATCACGAGAATTTGTCGTCTGCTCAAGGGAATTTGTCGTCGCATTAATAAAACACCTGTCTGGAATATTACATTGGCATGTGTTATTCTTATTTGACAGTAGATACACTAAAATTCCGCTTCCAATAAGCAAAATAGAAACACTGAGCAATGCAACATAGACACTCGATTTTTGCATTGTTATCCGTTTTGGGGCGTCTAGCGCAAGCGAGTGACCCAATGGAATTATGATTTGGTTTTAACACATCTCGACTACATTAGGCAAAATAGGTCCAATACTTTGTCATGATATTCAGGGAAACACAATTACCCTTTCTACTTTAAAACTTACTGACCAATTAACTACTAGAATTTCAATCCTTCTTTTACAAAATTACATATATTCTTGCTAAACACATTTTTAATGTTACTACGCCAGCAGTCGATAAATTTTTAAAAGAGAACCAATTTGTTTTCAACCGACTGGTTCCCGATGCGTATCAGACAAGAGCCTTAGAATCAAACTCCTCGCAGCGGTTACTTCCCCTGATCTGTACAGTAACCACTGTCACCACAAGTAAATTCGGTCGAATATAGCCGGATATATTTTTTTCACTTTTAATTTTAAAATAGAATACTTTATAACATTTTAGTTTTCTTTCGTTAAATAGTTATGCTTAATGTACAAGAAAGTAAAAAAATATACGTATAAAAATTATTTTGTAAACATAACGAAAGATATTTTCACTGTGACACCGTATGCATAGTAAACAATGGCAGAATATAAACAGTTATTGAACGATTGCACAAAAAGATTTGATCCGGCACTTGTTTTAAAGTGATAACAAATTGTGTGTCTTGAACTTATTTTGTCTGGAAAGGATGTAATTATAAATCTGCCAGTTTGATATGGGATCCCTGGCGTTCTGAAACTGGCCGCCATGTTTTTGTCACATGATACAACTATCATCACGTGATTTCAGTCGTGGCAGTGGTTAAAGTAGCAAAGCGTGACGTAACCGCTGTGAGGAGTTTGCCTTAGAATGTGCGTGAATAAGGAATGTGAGACGTTTCACTCCCAAGACATTTCACTATTGAGACGTTTCACTCCCAAGACGGTTCGCACCTAGACGTTTCACCCCTAATTTGTCAAATATATGGATGTTTCACTCCCATTTTTTAGATATTTTTTAGGAAAGTTAACAAATTTATTTCCATTTTTAATAGCCATATCAGGATTGATTATTTGTATTTATGTATGTTTTTTCTGTTGTAAATAAGCAATTAAAGTTCTGTAATATACATTTTTTATTTTGTTGCATTGAAAGATGATAATAGATATGGTTGGTTATTCAAAATAAAAATACACAATTGTAAAAAAGGAATTCATACTTATATAGACTATAATATAAACTATACTATGTTCATCCTTGAGAAATAGTACTTTCAGAAACAAGTAAAATCTCTAACTTGCCGTATATAAGCAAAAACGCTAATTTAAAATTGCCGTAGCTTTCGGCCTTGCGGCCTTCTTCAGCAGCATTTATTTCACATTATAGCATAAAATCGGCTATTTTTCCCTCTTTTGCCCATGTTATAACGGGACCAAAACCATGTGTTAACATAGTCACGCGCTCTTGTTATATAGCCCGGTTTCACCTATGCGCAATACATACAGGGCCCAGTAAACAAACAAACAAAAAATGACGATTTGGCCTGTTTGCCGAAGAGCCATGCGCTCTTGTTAAATTGAAATTTATTGATTCGAGGGCCTCAGTTGCATATTCCAGTAACTATGCCGGAAAAACGGCGTATAGACATCGGTGCTAAATCTTGGTTGTCGCCCTTTCTAAGAAACGGACAGTTGTCAATGTAAACAAATACAGAAGAATCTACCTGTCATTCAGTTTAACACTCCGATTAACTTACAAAACTAGATAACACAAAATTGATATGAGAATATGTTTTTTATTTATGTTAATGTTGATAAATGCTCATTATATTTCTTTGAGAGAATAATGCTTAGTGCCTGATTTTGTTATAAACTGGTTTGCTTGAAAAAAATAACCGATTCTGATGTCACTGATCTTTTTTCTACCGTCAATCTGAAATCACTCTAAGAATTTCTGAGGGTCATGTTTTGTCTTGGGTAGAGGGTAGAGTAATGTAACGTTTTTTTCTTGAGATAATAAATCTCCAAAGGCCAAGCTTTGTTAAATAAATTAAAATTCAAAATTTCGTTCGGTTCCGAGAATTTTCCAAGTTGTTGGCCCCGGAAAAATGAAACGCATACGTAAAACATAGAATTGGATAAATACCGTCCAAGCACAAGAATTTAATGCAATTGTGTTTTGTATAAACTATACATCACGAATCTGTTTGAAAATTTTATGCTATAATAGCGTCAACGCACGTTTATTTCGTGTTATAAAGTCTGCAGAGTCCCTCGGAACTGTTGGAGCCCTCGCCCTACCGGGCTCGGGCACCAACCGTTCCTCGGGACTCTGCAGACGTTATAACACGGAAAAACGTGCGTTAACCCTATATACAAATATATCAAAACAAAACAATGGAAGTGACGTAACGTCAATGAACGACGCCCGCCGTGGCGTTGGTTGCCGTCTGCCGCGTTATTCTTTTGTATTAACTCCATACGGTCTATAGGTTCTTAATTTATTTTTCCACAAATTTTCTATTGTTTTTCTGTATTGTTCATTCCCGTATAGCTTTTCAAGCCCCATTATTGAAAAATCATTTACTGTGTGGTCGTTCGTATAAAAATGCGCCGCTAACGGATCGTTGTATTTGGTTCGTATTCTGGATATATATATATATATATATATAGTATTATTTTAGATGAGATTGTTGACAATGATCACTGATGCTTCCAAAAGTTCAATTTTTCCAAATACTAAAAAGTTAACTATAAACAATATTTGCAGGTAGTACTTTTTAGTTGATTTCAAGGGTATTTATTTATTGATATAGCTTTTTGAATATCTACATCACATTAGTTGCTTTTCGCTCCGTGAGGCGACGGTGAATGTTTTAATCTCCCCCGCGTGCGCACTTATTTAAGTGAAATCGCAAATTTTCGGCCCTTTTCGTCATTCTTCGATTAAGGACCTCGAACACAATGGTATGAATTAATACAAAGAACGGATGCGGTATTTTGGTCTTACCTACGCATGTAAACAAATATTATTTTAATGATGGGAGTTATTGACAAATTGATTTTCAAAATATGTATTAGAAGTCCACCTAAAATAAGTGAATTCATAGACACAAAAGCAAACAGTACATTATTATACGTGGTAGAACTACTTTCAATCCGTATTGTTTCTGAGGTTATTTATAGATAATAGCCAAGGATGTTCCGATTGATTAGCGTGTTTTCGCTCCGCGCCCCGCCATTTTTACTTTTCCATGGCGGAAACGCAGGCGAAAAAACGAATGGCACAAATCAGCCACCATAAATATCCCCTAAATATTTTCAAAATATAAAAGCTATTGGTTCTTTTTACCACTCTATGCATACATTATTTGAAATCGAGAGAACCCATTGTGTAATGGATGGCCGATGGTACAGCAGGCGCTAAAAATACGAATGGCTCAGTGACATTCTTCGGTGTCCGTAGATGACCTTACGATATTAAAGTTTAGTTTGATAAAGTTTGATTGTCTAATAGAACAGTTTATTTTATCAAATATTTCAAAAATGCCACTTATTGAATAATTCTTAAAACCTGCATTGAAGATTACGAACTATTTTAACGTAAATTTAAGAAAAAACTAAAGTAAACGTTTTGTGGAATACACTTATGATTTTATGAAGTTTAAAGGTACGCGTAAAGATACAAAAATACTTACGAAATGACAGTAAAAAGAGAGCCCCTGGAGTACGGTGGCATAGAGGTGACATTTGCAGTTATATTTTATCTCGTGGCCACGACTTATTATCTTGTGGCCTCCAGATATTATCTCGTGGCCACGACTTATAATCTAGTGGCCACGAGTTATTATCTCGTGGCCACGACTTATTATCTTGTGGCCACGAGTAATTATCTTGAGGCCACGACTTATTATCTTGTGGCCTCAAGATATTATCTCGTGGCCACGAGTTATTATCTTATGGCCACGACTTATTATCTCGTGGCCACGACATAATTATCTCGTAGCCATGACTTATTATATTGTGGCCACGACTTATTATCTTGTGACCACGACTTACTATCTCGTGGCCACAAGATAGTAACTCGTGGCCACGAGATAATATTTTGAGATAATAAGTCGTGGCCATGAGATAATAAGTCGTGGTCACGATATAATATCTTGAGGCCTCAAGATAATAAGTCGTGGCCACGAGATAAAATAAAATTGACAATGTCACCTCTATGCCACAGTACTGGAGAGATCAACTTTTTAGCTTTTAAAATTTAAACTAATCTGTTGAAAATTAATGTGATATTCATTATAAACAAACATCAAAGATCAACTCTGACGCTGTCGTGCAGTTGTAAACGCTGTCTGACTACAAGTTTACAAGTTTCAAGTTCCAATACTCAGCGTTAAGAACTTGTTGTTTCTGCTGCAATGCCATTATTTCTGTATCTGCTGCAACAAACAACTGCATTTCAGCCGCGTCACGACAAAACCAACATAGTGCGTTTGCGACCAGCATGGATCCCGCAGTCTGATCAAGATCCATGCTGTTCGTTTACCAACCCCATTACATGTAGAGAGACTGATAGCGAACAGCTTGGATCCTGATCGGACTGCGTGGATGCGCAGGCTTGTCTGGATCCATGCTGGTCGCAAACGCACTATGTTGGTTTTGTCATGACGCAGCTCATTTCACGAAAAAGCTCACTGAACACTTGTCTTTCCGTGACTTAACGTCACCACATATACATGATGGATTGAACATTTTTTGCATCATAAACAATGTTAAAAAGTGAATAATACTCATCATATGCAAACTACTCAACCTGTGAACAATATTCACTGATCACCATACTCACATCTGGTAACGTACTCATTGAGCGCTTCTTCTCACAAATAAAGAAGGTAATCACTAATTGAACAAATCACATTATTTGAATTTGTTTGTTTGGTTTCACGGCAAACCAACAAAGTTAAAATATTTGTTATTTAAAGTGAAGTAGAAGAGAAAAATACTTGCAGCCCTATGATTTGAGG